TGAGTTGGGTTTAACGCCGCTTTTAACAGTATTCAAGTTATATCGCAGCGTGTCAGCCTAATGTGGGAGGAAAGCCCGAAGTGATGCAGGCAAAAATAATGAAATTTGGTCAACATACGATGTATACGAAACTAGATGCATCGCAGGGATACATATGGTTGAAGTAAACGTACATGGTGGAGATACTGTAGGTATTGACCTGCTAAATGGGCATGGCTGTATTACGTTGCGTGATCAAATGTCTTGCGTATTGTGAAGCGAGAAGCTGACCTAGATCTAAACGTGTGGTGTGCGTGTGTTATAACTGTCATATTAACTCCCTGACTCATAGATCAGGGCAGATAATTCGAAATTTATTCATTGAAACCCACTTAAGCAGAAATTATCTCCGAAACCAAGTGGTTGCTTCAAATTGTAGCATGTCGTATTGGCATGACGCTGTAGTTTTTTGGCAGCATATTGAATTCTGACCATGCCTATTAGCATTTTCCTGACTATTTGTCTGCCAATGTATTAGCCTCTGAATAATGAATAAAAGAGTTCCCAAATTATCAGAAATCTCTGCTAAAAGCAAAGTCTATTGTATGACTCCGACTAAATGGGGAGCACATGTGTGTAAATAACTATCAAAGGGATGATACCAGTTGTTCGCGAAAAGGTGAGCGTATCATGCCCCACATGTGGCAACCGTCATACAATATAATGTAGGGAATTATATTGGATATCTTTTTTGCCAATTATTCGTCAAATATAGAATTGTCTGACACATGTCTATCATAAAACGTTCTGAAAGCTTTAACAAGGCCTTGAATGTTGTAACCCTGATGAAACAACTTTTATCTAAGCGTCTCATGACACTGTTTGAAATCGTGGTAGAGGGCATGCTCGATTGTACCCCAAACGTTGTGAAATGTCGACAGCAATGGATGGAGCGCCAGGAATATTGCTCCAAATAAAGGGAAAGTTGACTATAGGAAAGTTGAAGTCATCTTTCTTGTCATGCAGTTTTAGTGATAGTTTTGTCACTCTGAATCTTTACGCATAGATCTAAATATTAAACAAATAAGGAGGGTTCACTAGTCTCGTTTACGTCTAATTCAGCTGTCTTATTCATTGGATGGGACTTGGCTAATTGAACGATATCAGATTATAAATTAACCTGAAGCTGAAGTTAAACTTTTTAGTCAAATTCCCCTGTTTTGACTTTGCCAATCCGAGCAGAACTTTCGAGTCATATGCATAAAGAAACAGACCAGGGAGAATGGGAGCACTTTATTCTAATCATGATTCAATCTGGTCACACAGAGTCATACGTCTCCTTTAAATGGAATCCGTCCATGGGAATATTGATACCATTACTTCAAATATTTGCCTTAGGTGGTTATTAGGTGGTTAATTGTGTCTCTCCGATAGTGGCAATCCGAGCATGTCGATATGGGGCGTGTTCACACAACGGATAAATGACCTGTTTTCCTACGAGGGAAAAATTAGCCCTAGTTCATAAATAATGTTTCATGCCCAGCACAATATGAGGCAAAAAGCTAGTGGTTAAAGCATTCGCTCGATCCCCGACATAGGTACACTGTGTGAAGCCCATTTCTGGTGTCCCCCGCCGTGATATTGCTGGAATATTGCTAAAAGCGGCGTAAAACCATACTCACTCACTCACTCACTATTCGTAAAATGCAAATATACCGTACATCACAGGATTATGATTGATGCCGTGATACACATATTGTTGAACGTTTAATGACACTGATCTTATTTATCACGACAAACGCATTTGGTTTTCGTCCGGAGAAGACAACCGCAGGACTAATTTGTGTGTAGTGGACTGGATGAAAACTTTGATCGTGGACACTCCACAGTAACATTTCATTAAGATGTGCACCGAAGACGAAATGGCAAGAAAGTTTGGAAACTAAAGACGTCCTGCTTGCTAAAACAAGTCTTGGAATCGTTTGATGAATATTTATTAGTAGTATAGTGTCAGTAGGCAGGAGCTCCTTTTGGTGGAGGGAGCCTGAAAGGGTCCCCTAGCCTATCGGAGCGAGCGCAAGGGACAGCGCGTCACAGGTGAGGGGGGAATGAAAGGTGTGTGTTTATAAGGCAGAAAAGAATTCATAAGAAAACAAAAGTAAAGGGTATTGAATAGAGCTATGTGTATGGCGTGCTACCCTAAATAGACAGACCGTACCCGTCAGCCCAGTTTGAATTGAGCGCGCTTGACAACTGACGTGGCCTCGTCGTTTCAAATTGTTTATTGGTCATGATAGTTTCGTTTATTTCAGGCGTTAGTAGATATTACAATTAGGGTACAACTCACGTAGTCGTTTCAAATTGACCGCGCTCGCTAGAGCGTGCGACCTGGTTTGATGAATGCAGGGAGTGTGTTGAAAGTACAAGTACCACAATAGAGACGGGTTGTGTCAACATGATATACGCCGGATAACGTAGGAAAGGCAGTGGTCTTGCCGTCAAACCTCCACGTGGGAAGTCAACATTCACTAATATGGAAGCCTAGGAGTGGCAAAATGTAGGCCTACAGCGCATCTGGAAGCAGGTGTACGATACGTTTCATGACAAGATGAAACTGCAGAAAAAACAATACAAGCGACAGGGATGAACGCAAGAATGGATTGAGAGAAGATTGAAACTGAGGTGGGAGGATCTAGTGCGTAGTACTCTCAACTATGCGATGGAATATACCACGTACCATTGAAACATCAACTATGCAAGTCGGGACAGGGCTGAATAATTCTTTACAAATGGTTCACAATAGTACGCAGCGCGGGGTGATTCGAAATCCGGCTGCCTTCAGTGTTAAAGTCAATGCAGGGTGACGTGACGACCACGTTCTTGCGCGCTAAATGTAAACCGCTAGCTTGCTGATTGCGTAGTCTTATCTATTTTGTCTATATATTTTTTCCATACAGGTTGTCTAACGTTCATGGTGTACAACGTGTAGACCGTACAAGATGAATTTGATTCCAGCTAGACGAACCCGTCTCTATTGTGGTACTTGTACTTTCAACACACACCCTGCATTCATCAAACCAGGTCGCAAGCTCTAGCGAGCGCGGGTTAAACGACGAGGCCACGTCAGTTGTCAAGCGCGCTCAATTCAAACTGGGCTGACGGGTACGGTCTGTCTATTTAGGGTAGCACGCCATACACATAGCTCTATTCAATACTCTTTACGTTTGTTTTCTTATGAATTCTTTTCTGCCTTATAAACACACACCTTTCATTCCCCCCTCACCTGTGACGCGCTGTTGATGCATGAGTCATCCTATCCGATCACGTGACTTGGATCAACCAATCACCTTCCCTATTTTCCCTCAACCTCCCTCAACCAAAAGGGGGTTGCTGGCTACCCGTTCTATACTACTTTTATTACCATTAATGGCGAGTGTCACATTGCACAAACATACGTCCTTGTCAAACGGCCTACGTGGGTGGGTGTTATCATGTCACGTCGTGTCTTCCCCCGTTTACGCATTAACCAATGAAATTCGAGCGTTACCATGACGTCATATCGACCTGCTCCATCACTCCACCGTCTAGCTCATATACCCATTATTTATGTAATTACACAGAGAACTTAATTAAGCACCCACAGAATTCTTTACCATGACACTCAAACAAAATGGTACAACTTCCGTCTCATCAGAAATATGGTGGGGAAACATTTGATCTCCCGACTACCAAAAACACAGATAATGATGCATATGGTCAATAAGTTCGCATTTTAACAGCCATTTTCACATTCCCATTTCCATAGTTGGTTGGTTGGTTTGTTGTTTAACGCCGCACTCAGCAATATTCCAGCTATATGACGGCGGGCTGTAAATATTCGAGTCAGGACCAGAACATCCAGTGCTTGACATCATGAGCATCGATCCACGCAATTGGGATCGATGACATGCATTAAGCCTGACCACCCGATCCCGTTAGTCCTTTCATATTGTCGTATTGTATCGATACATTTTGATTGCTATGTTATTTAAAAATAAATTACCTTTTACAATTGGTAGTATGGATCAGTAACTGAAATGTAACTGAATGTTTGTTTATCCTAATCTATTGCTGATCTTGTCAACAAGCGCCATTGAATAAAGGTATGATGTAAATCCTGCTTGGGAACCATGCAGGTAGCAAAGGTACTGTATGTCCCCATGGTCCCTAGTATGGTGGCCTAACAATCAGTTGTTGTTGATCTTTGGCCTGTTTTTATAATGTGTCGTCTGTCATAAGCTGATCATTTTATTGTCCTAAAACTAGTTTAAAAAGCATAATCTGTGATGCATTTCTGGTTGCTGTACAGCTTTTCGACGACAGTTTTTATATTTAACATAAATACATAACCTGTTCTAGTCACGATTTTGCTGAAATACTGCCGATGTGACATTATATTTTAGAATACACTCCCCTGTTTTTTTCTCAAAATGGGAACCAGAGGAATTATTGAGCATGGAAGTTATGCAACTTGTTAGAATTGACTATTAGGGTCCCAAAACAGACATTATAGTCTCGTGAAGGGAAAATGTCCCAGAGGATTCCGATCAGAGCTCGTTCATGTTTTGGTACTTTTGGTCTCGAACATGACAATCCTAGAGATGAAAGGTCTCTCCAGGGATAACTGTATTCCAACTTTCATTTATATCCCAGGGTGAACTGGTATCCTGTATTATTTCAGGGTGTGCTCAATTACGTTTTCCATCTATATAAATGTATGTCTCATCGCTTCTGTTTACAAAACCGTGTCGTTTTGAGGATGACAGAAAGCTGCCTAAAACGTTCTGTTTCATTTCATCATTTACATTTTCTCGCTTGAATAATAATTGTTTACTTTTGTTCATTTATTATTGTTCATATGCCATAAGGCAAGAGCAGTGTAACTGAAATAATTAAAATAGTTATCAATGACAACCTAGAAATAGTATTAAAGATAAATAGACGCGTAAACATTTTCTAAACTATGTACAAAGACTACATACCTTCTTTTGCCGTCACCAACTCATTCTCAAGGGCTCAGTCTATATGTGCACCTGTAAAACAGATAAGAAAAGTTTACACCCATGTTTTATTGTGGCTCAAAGTCAAACAAACAAGAAATGTTTATTCGGTGGTGATGTATTTGATACGGCGATAGTACATGCATCACATCAAAGAGTATCTCACCTACACTAAAAGGTGACGTGCAGAAAGCGTCTCAAAGAAACACGGGAGTCGTAATTTCACAATACACAGTAATGAGCAGAGTAAAGTAGGTATTGCCATGATCAGTTTAAGTTGGTTCGCAGTTGGTTTACAGATACCAGATATTCTCAATGACTCGCACGACGAGACTCGGTCGTCATCAGCCGACGGATATCGATGACGTCACAGGGAATCTGTTTATCTCTCTTATTGCTGCCTCCATCAGTTGACGGTTCTGTGGTTGATGAGGACGCCTCGTGATCTTACAACCGATCGTTTTCCACTGCAAAGATGAACCCTAGCAGGGCCATCATTATGAAATAGCAGAATGTTCTTTCATCAGTTGAAAGCAAGTTCTGCGGTTCATGGAATTGCCACTGTTTTACTGCCATTGCCCAGTGCCGTCTAAGGGCGGTAGCATACCTACGGCTTTGAGACGTCGACTGATATGTCGTCCTAACTCGGTTGCTGCTATTTCCGTCTGTGTGATGAACATGTTGCGCAAATGCATAGTTCGCAAGAACCAGTCATCCTGTGATCCTGCCCTGTCCTGTGTACTATCAGTATGTCTTTAATAGTCAAACAAACGATGGTTGCATATGTACAGTTGAAGTTTTTTGAAATCTTGGTGTGGTCGGTACAAAGTATCATATTCTCAAACACTTAAAGGCTCAGGGAGTTCCTATTTTGTACGATATGAAGCACAGATTAGTACATATTTAGCCCATCATATGCTAAAGCTGGTGTACCGTATATCGAAAAGAAAAGAAAATGCCCAAGTTGCCCAAGTGTTTGATGGTTGAAATCAGCCATGGGCGTAGCAGGCCTAAAAACCCCACCAAGACAAGATCGTCTCATTACATTAATTGCATTAGATACAAATCTGCTCCTCTTATTCATAGAGAATTCCGTACAATACAAGGGAGGCAAATTTCAACGTCTACCATTAAAAACTGGTTAAAAGCAGCCCACCTGAAAGCAAGGCGTCCTGTGAAGGGTTTGACCCTAACACAACTACGCTCAGCGGCAAAGATTGGGTTGGGCCAGGCGCGGTCTGTGCGCCAATGGCGTTACATCTTGTTTGCAGACGAATTTCGATTTTTGGCCAGGAAAATAAGTGTTCGGTTCAGGGATTTATCAACCTATTGCAGAACTTCAGACTGACGATCATAGCAGCAGATCTGGCAGACCAAACGTAAGACGGGAAGACAAACACATCAGAAAAGAGTGTTTCAGAGACCGACATTCGACCCTCAACATCCTGCGTATTCAAATAGGCAGGCGTACCAGTCGCATGACCATCTCTCGGAGATTACATCAATTTGGCATCCGATGTTAAGATCCATGTAGGAAGGCTCTTCTTAAAAAGCACAATGAAATAACCTATTTTCCTGGACAAGGCAACACTTACACTTTCGGAAACAGGGTTTAAACAAGGTTCTCTTCTCAGACGAATCGATCTTCAGACGTTTCAGTAACCATAGGAGAGTGAGTGAGTTCGGTTTTACGCCGCTTTTAGCAATATTCCAGCAATATCACGGCGGGGGACACCAGAAATGGTCTTCACACATTCTACCCATGTCGGGAATCGAACCCGGGTCTTCGGCGTTACGAGCTAACGCTTTAACCACTAGGCTACCCGACCGCCCCTATAGTAGAATGAACGTGAGGGAATAGGGAAGTGCATCGTACATTATTTGTGTCACTGGTGCATCACATTTGGAAATGTCCTCAACTTCTGAGTCGTGTGACGCTTTTGAAATCGTGGTAGAAAGAGCATGCTCGACTGTGTCTCAACAGTTGTGAAATGTCATACAGTCTTGTGGAGAGTGTTTCGTCATTCAACCCTCCTCATCTTCACGTTTGGTTTGGTTTGTTGTTTTACGCCGCACCCGGCAATATTACAGCTATATAACGGCGGTCTGTAAATAATCGAGTCTGGACTGATATCGTCATATGTTCAAGGAACTCTGAAGAAAGTGCACTTAATAGCGCGAAATATATAAGCAATTTATCATCAAAGATATGAAACAGCGTGAGGCTTGTTTAATGATGGAGTGAGTGGGTGAGTTCTGTTTAACGTTGCTTTTAACAGTATTCCAGTCATATCACGGCGTGTCAGCTTAATGTGGGAGGAAAGCCCGAGGTGATGCAGGTCTCAGACGTTTACCGCTTCACTGAAACCCACGAGCACGGGTATGGTGCTGACAAACCTAGAAACATAATCGGGGCGAACCGGGATTCGAACCCACATCATTGGAAAGAATATTGCAGGGGATATGCCAACATCCATTCGGAAGGAAACCCTGATATTCCCTCACAAACTGCACCCTCGAAGCATTATACGACAGTATACCCAGAAGAATCAAGGCAGTATTGCAAGCCAATGGTGGAAGTACTCAGTACTAGTGTGACAACTTGATAAACTATTGTCTGAAACTTTTTTGAAGTCATATATCTTTGTTCATTCCAGTTACACAAACTTTTGTTCAACAGATGTATGTGTACACGTTTGCAGATGGGTAATACCAGTTAATGCAAACGAAACTCCTTAAGATACGTTAATACCTCTAAACGATCATAAAAACATATGGTACAATACAAACACTAATACATGTCGTTAACTATTAGAAGTTGTTGTAGTTTGTTGTTTAACGCCGCACTCAGCAATATTCCAGCTATATGACGGCGGTATGTAAATAATCGAGTCTGGACCAGACAATCCAGTGATTAAACATCGATCCACGCATTTGGGATACGATGACATGCATCAGCCAAGTCAGCGAGCCTGACCACCCGATCCCGTTTGTCGCCTCTTACCACAAGCATAGTCGCCTTTTACAGCACGAATGGGTTGCTGAAGACCTATTCTAACCGGGATTTTCACGTGTCAACTAATAGAAGAATTACATTTGAACACATGCACAACAGATCATTTTACTGCCTGAACAAAGCGGACCGGGAGTTTACTTCGACTCACTAAGCTTACATTAGTTTCAAAGTCTTCTTGTGCTATGGCATTATCTTTTTTTGACGAGTCCTTTGTTAAATTCGTGATGGTAAACAGACGGACAGCACAGATAAGCTCGTTGAGTAGGTCTTGAACCGATCTGCCCTCAGCTTAACATGAACAATGCACACAAGTTATCGAAGTCGATAATATAAAAAAACAAAGTACCAACGCAGAGTGCAATATTACACATCATTCCGTAGACCGCGTGCAAATGCCTGTTTTATCTATGTTATAGAGACCGCCCGTTGGTCGCGTAGAGCTGTTATGAATAATGATCAGTAACCTAGTCTAATGTTTACTCAAAGGTTGCGAGGGGATACACATGCAATCTGATAACACAGAACAGAAATTACTTTATACTCCGACTGTGAACGACAGCATACGGGAGTTACAATACATATAAATAATGCGTATATACAAGATTGCGGACGGTGTAGACATTGTTTACACTTGTTACAGGAATACAGAGAGAGGATATACCGGGAGGTCTTAAAGTGCAATTGAAAAAATTACTGAAAGTTTTAAGGATCCTAACATTTTGGATTAAGTCGAGACAACGGAACTTCAGGACATTTTGTTGATGAGTGAAGTATGCTGGTAGACACCTAATGCGGTGGAATTCATCTCCGAGATCCGTTTGATTAATGAATGACAAGCTTCTTTCATTATGTTTTTACACCCGCCAGTTTCTACTAGGAGCCAATGATTTGATTATCTAGAGTACTGTTCAAAAACTAATAGTAACCTTCTCTATTTTAGAGAAAATATATTAAAGTACTGTTCAAATGACATACATTTTTTCATGATCTTATATAATGAGGTTTTGATGAGTTTATAATTGTATTGTTCCAGACCTGTTAATATTGATCTTATGTCGTTGAGATATAAATGATCTCTGTTTAGTTATATCGAATCCACTTTGAAACAACCAGCCATCACCAATTCCAAGATAATCTGGTTTTGAATTAATGTTTATAACCCATTCAGGTTTTCAGATACCAGAATTCACATAATTTAGTAATAATTTATATACAGTATGTGACATGTTAGCAGATATTGAGTTCACTAATTTTGACCAATAACAAAGTACACTTAATTTAATGTACGCACATAACAGGAAAGTTCCAATTTCCCCGTTTAACATAGTAGTCGTGTGAACTTGTAACTTTCAGTAACATTCTTTAGAAGCGTGATTGCAGATTTTCGAGCATCCGAACGCTCCGTAAAATATTATTGGTTTAAAGAAACATGATCTTTATTTACACAAAAATGATAAATTAAGTAAACGACTTTGATTCAGAACCAAAAAACATGGCTTTTGTAGAGTGATCAACCTGTTTTTTCTTACATGTGACAAAGTTATTATTCCTATAAATACTTATAATCGTTATTATTTTCATTTGTAGTGAAGACAAATCTATAATCTTATTGGGAACCATAAAAGTTTTATGGACATTTTTTGTAAATTTATTGGATTTACAGAACACTTGAAACATAACAATAAGTACACTCATATATCATTTGGATGTTCATTACTTGAAGTACCATTACAATTACCATCTTTAAGGTACTGTTCTAAATCATTTTGTCACAGCCCAATTGTGCGAGGGAAGAGGTCAGAGGAGTTACCTTTACTGAGGAGATGGTGTCGTGAAAAGGTCCCGCGTGCAATGCGCAGTAATACGCCTGTTCCATGAGAACTATTCAAAGATATCCATAGCTTGTTGTGTGACATCTGTGTCACAGAGTACTGCGGAACACAGAAAACATGACGCCTATATACTAACCGCACACAGCCAGAACGAGGCCCACGTACGCTTCAGTAAACAGTTTTCTCCTCATACCCATAGTTTATTTTTAGTGCTGATTGCTTGTTGTGTATGAGACTGAACTCGACAAAGAGCATTCAGTGACTTTCGACCTGTTGAAATACATATTTGTCATTATAGTAGCATGTACATATGGATCAGCCGGTAAACATATGCAGGTATATAACTAATAGTCTACCGAGAAATTAATACCCCGATGGATCAGCTTGAGCGACTAAACTAGAGCAATTCTTGTCATTTGTTTTCCAGGCGTCATAAATATGTAGTTGCTATGAGCCAGTCAATGTTTAACGTATTTTGCATTTGAAGGCAGTATCATTTGCATACTTTCACAGCATCACACGTAAATAATGAATTGAATTTGGGAATGAATAAATCCAATAATGTGACCATCAGCCACTCAAATACAATTTAGAATAGTGAAGCAGCAAAACACTTTCCATAATGGAGACACCTCTGCTAAAAGCTAAATGCACCCAGAATGAAGTTTGTTTGACGATGTACACTTATTATCTATCTTCACATATATAATGCAGTAGCATGAAGTAAAACAGCAGACTCTGTTGTATTATACCAAAACCACGAATCAACTAACTACGAACTAACGCCTTAAGTTGAGGTGACGTGAAATGCTATTTAACATAGATTTCAAGAGTAACACTTTTTAAACATTACAACGAAATTCATCATTTATGCTACTGACTCATGTTAGACCCAGTTCACTATTTTGTATATACCAAGGACGTTTATGTATTACCTATAAAGCATATACTTGAATGTCCCAAACATGAAATGTCCCAAAGACGCTCCACTTTAGCGTGGCAACTTCTGATATATATGGTACTGTTTAGACCATATATATATATATATATAGACACACACACACACACACACACACACACACACACACACACACACACACACACACACACACACACACACATACAGCACAACACGCATATATATACATGCACACGCACATGCACATATGCACATATTACATTTTAACAAAGAGATATATATTTTCATGAGAACATAAACATAATGTTTGCAAGAATAACATGAACATACATAAAATGCCTATATAAACACAACTTACTTGTATATACACATTAATACCAAAATACATGCTACATATATATAGTAACACAATCATACATACACTTACATACATACACACTCTACATACATACACATATACCCTTGTATACACATACATACATGTATACATACACATAAACACACACACACTCAAATACACATACACACACACACACACACACACACTAATGTCGTAATTAATAATAAGTGGTCGCAGAGCGATATTCTATACTTATGATAAAGGGTTACTCGAATCTATCAGTCGACAGTATATATATTTTGAACGCTGTTGAAGATGAGAGTATTGTGACTTTCAGTTAGAGATACATCACCGTAGAGAATATTTTGTATTGTACATGTAGTTCCAGCCTTTAAAATGTTAGCGAACATGATACTTCTGGGAATAGTGTAATTTGGACATTCAAGAACGAAGTGCATGTAGTTTTCACAAGGGTTTCCACAAGAGCGGGACAAAGTATCAGATACAATTGCGTTGAAGAGCTCTGCATTTAGGCAACTGCAAGAATGCCTTAGGCGTGTATGTCAAATGTTAGCTCTTCGGTTGCCAGTTGAGAAGTATGGAGGTGGAGCTGTAATGGTTGTTTTAATCATAAAATTTGATAATGATGTTGCACTTCTGTCTTCAGAGGGTAACTCATTCCATAGTTTGATTAAAGAAGGTATAAATGATTGTTGGTATGTAGCGGCTCGTGCATGCGTCAAATTCATATTGTTCTTATTTCGTAACTTATATCTACTAATAGTTGATACTTTGGGTGGTAACGTGCAAATACGATGGACATAGATTATTAACAATACTGTAAATTGTACAAAAAAAATTAAAACAATTCTTCTATGAGATAGTGATTCCCCCCGTCTCAAATATAAACTCGATCAGAAGGAGAATTTAGGGAGACCTGTAACTATGCGAGCGGCTTCGAGTTGAATTATTTCAAGTTTTTTGGAGTTTTCTTTACTGCAGTTATCCCATACCTCTGAAGCATAGTCTAATATAGGCCTTATGAAAACGAGATAGAGTTTTGACAAGGTTTGTCTGTCAAGTATATATTTAACGGTTCTTAACGAACAAATCATTTTGGAAGCTGAGCGGCAAATGTTATCAACCTGGGTTGTCAACTTCACATCGTGAGAGAGAGTAACGCCTAGATGTTTGTGCGAGATAGATTCGCTAAGAGCGGTATTGTTATAAATAATATCTGCAGTGCGGTTTTTACAATGAGTGAACAGAATAAATGTTGTTTTGTCCGGGTTAAACTTAACCAGCCATCTATTGGCCCAGGTACATGTATTTAGAAGCTCTAGATCACTGTCTAATCTGTGTTACACAGTTACAGTTACACAGTATTTTTGTAGTTTATGAAGTAATCCTTTGTTCCAAACTCTGTCAGTTGCTTTCGATACATCACAGAATACGATACAATAGTATGCATGCTTGTCAACAGGTGAGGCAATATTATAATAAATTTCGATTAATTGTGAGGTAGTAGAATGTCCTAGTACACAGCCGGTTTGATATTTGTACAGCAGACTATTCAAATTGAAATAGTTGTATAAGCGTTTAAAGACTAATCTTTCCTGCAGTTTTCCAAGAATTGATAACAGGCTAATTGGTCTGTTGTTTGAGGTTAGTGCTTTGTCACCTTTCTTGTATAATGGCATGACGTGAGCGAGTTTCAAGTTTTCTGGAAAGATTGCTTCTTTTAAAGATCGTTTGAAAATTGTACATAATGGGATAAATACTGTCAGCCAAGAGTTTTTAAAGTCCATAATGCTTTTTTCGATAGCAGTCTCTGGAGCGACGCTCCCTTCTGAAGTCATTATCGAACCATTGTTTGTCTGTTGGTCGAATTGTTCCACACTTTGAGGGTATAATGTCGTGCATGTAATCTTTTAGCTGGGATTGGAAGTTTTCACACATTTAATTAACGTCTGTACATTCTTTAAAAAAAAACATTCCAATTTTTATTCTTAATTTGTATATTCATTTTAGCAAACTTAGCTTGTTTGTAGAGCCATACGTTTCTTTTATATGACTTTTTGCATTAAGATAAACATTAATAGAAACGAAAACTCCCCTGTTGTCCGATACATCGGAACTAAAATTAAGTATGTAGCAGTGACATTTTGATGTTATCTTAATGTCTTGATTTGGTTTCTTTGTACATAATATTATCTGTTTTACAATTATTGGATGTAACAGGGTGTTTTATATTTTTGATGATTTAAAGGTAAAATAAGAACAAAAGTCATAAAAAGGTTGTTAAAAATATTGAAGGTTGGTGGCAATATTCTAACGTTGGTTGTTTTAAGCGAATGGCAATTATACTGACGTTTGGTTATGTTTATCTATACTCAACAACAAAATTTCCTGTGACACCAATATTTTAGTGTATTTTTCAAACAAGTAAAGTTTGGTTTTCAATATTGTAGTACATGTATGGAATCAAGTCACAAAAACGCAACTGCTACAGAAAAGCGTGCATTCCATGCAAAAGTTGACTTGCCCCATGCATTTCACTACCCAAGAATGGGCATACAAACATATGCATTGTTTAGCATCGTGCTGACAACAACCAGTCAGAAAAACAACTAAATTACGCAATTATTCAACATTACGAAATGCCACGCCTGTCCGAAAATGAGCGTCTGCGAGCCATTGGTATGCTTGAAGCAGGATCGATGTTGCAAGACAATTTATCGTTCACAGAAACAGAAATCGATTCCAGCAAGCAACAGTGACTGCAAGAAGCATCCCTGGCCTTCGACGAATATCTTCACGAACCGTACGTCGTCGCCTCAGATGTGCAGGCATTGTCGCCAGGAGACCCGCCAGACGTCCCATTTTGACAGGAAACGACCGTCAAGCACGTCTACAGTGGAGCAGACCGCGTCTACGCTGGACGGCCATGCAGTGGGGACAAGTGCTATTCACTGACGAGTCTCGTTTTCACCTCAGAAACAGCGATGGACGGATTCGAGGGTACCGAGGTCGAGGTGAACGTTACGTCAATCATTGTGTCATGGAAGAAGATCGGTTCGGGGGCGGCAGCGTTATGGTATGGGATGGGATTACAGCAAGACTGGACCCGTTTGATAGTGATAGAGGGAAATCTCAATGACCAGCGCTACCGCGACGAGGTCAGTTGTACTTGCATAGACTGCTTACAATTATGTGTGCAATCTATACAATCTTCGCAATCCGTTGATCGCGTAGAGCTGACAAGAATAATGATATATGACGTAGTCTTTTCCCATCCAAACAGGTTATAGTGTATTACGCAATGAGAAGGGATAGACTAGTAAGCAACTTTTCGCTTTAGTCCTTTCGCCCCGACTGCCCGATTTATCGGGCAGCATAAACCATGGCCCAGTACCCGGCTGCCCGAAAAATCGGGCAGCTACTGTCCAAGTCCCACACACGGCTGCCCGATAAATCGGGCGGCACGAACGTGTTTACAAAATCGCTCTTTGTTGGCCTTGTCAGTGTCAGGGACTGCAGTGTTTCAAGGGACATAACTCTGGGGCAGCCAGGGATTAAAGAGTTAAGCCACTTTTAGGAATATTCCAGCAATATGGGCTTCACACATTGTTCCCATGTGGGGAATCGAACCCGGGCCTTCGGCGTGACGAGCAAACGCTTTAACCACTAGTCTACCCGACCGCCCCTGGAAAGACTAGCTGTAGTATTTCTGATTTGCGTGTTTACTTTCCAGTTTAGTGAGGATATAATCACGCGAGGCTACATTTGTAAAGCTAGCTGTAGGGTTATTTCGCAGGACAATCAGGACCTTTTGTGAGATGT